GCGGAGGGCGTAAACTAAAGCGATCTGGAAGAAGCAGGTCATCTGTGGATACCTCTTATATGGCTGGGTGCGTCTTCGACCTTTGGAGGGGTTGCTTGGGGCGAACTTGGGATCCTTTTGAAGACTTGCGGGCTTTCCTTCGGTTCGCTGCCCGCGCCTTCAAATTCTGAAGAAGCGCTGTTGAACAGCTTCGGCACCACCGTGCACCATATCTGCAATCGTGCCCCCTGGCACGTTGACGCGTGCTACAATGCCAAGTTCTGTCTGGTAGGGTTTCTGCAACCTTGCTAAGGGCCCCCTGCCCTCCTGGCACGCACACAAGCCCATGCGGCGCCCCCTGTTTTCGAGGCTCTATCGGTGCCCTGACGCGCCCCTGCCGCTCTCCAAGGCGTCCAAGACGCCCAGGATGGCATCCCACGCGGACCGGGGAGGCTACCAAAGCCGCCAAGATGGCCCAAGATGCCTCCGAGACGGCCCACGAGGCCCCAAAAAGCCCCAAGAGCGCTCCAAGAGGACCCCCAAGAAATCCCCAAGAGGGCCCAAAAGACAAAAACAATTGATTTTCATTATGTTTGTCAATGTTTATCACGTTGTCGCCTTTTCGCGGTCCGACACTCCAAGACAGCTCCAGGGGCCCCCAAGAGCGCCCCATGATGGCCCGAGAGGCTTCCGAGAGGGTCTCTAGACGCCCCAGGAGGGCCTCAGAAGAGCCTCGCAGGCGCCCATGACACGCAACATTGCCCCCTGACAGGCCCAGGAGAGGCCCAAGAGGGGGAACATACACCGACAATTCGATCCTTCTGCCCGAAGAGTCCCCAGGAGGCCCCAAGAGGCGTCCGAGAAGCCCCAAGGAGACCCCGAGAGGCCCCCAACAACCCCCAAACAGCCCCAAAGAGGCCGCAAAGCTGCCTCCAATAAGCTCCCGGGAGGCCTCCCACGATATCCCAACGAACATCCAAGATGCTTCCAGTACACTCTCGAACAATCGCCACCGAGCCTGGTGGACTGCCACGGTGGCGGGACTTGCCGCAGGCAGCTGGATTAAAGCGGGCCCCCCTCTCCTGGAAATCTCTTGGACCTCCTGGGCCGCTTTTGGGGGCCAAGCGCAGTCCTCTGGAACCCTTTCTTGGGACCCCCGTGATACCTTTTGGCTTAAGCCGAGCTGGAGCCCTTGGAGTGAGACCAAGGACTACTCCGCGCCGGAGCCATCTTTTTGAGCAGCCCTGCAGACTCTCAAAGACCGCAAAGACCCGAAGAGAGCACGGTGGCGGTCTGGGCCGAATCAAAGCCACCACATGTCGCCGCCGCTTACACACTGCGAAACCCGTCTCTCGTGGGCACTGGGGCACGCGGCGACGGCACCTGGCTCTCACGGGAGCTCGAAACTGCCACGCAAAGTTCGGCACCGGCGACAACAGTCTGGCACCTTTTCGACTTCTGGACGGCGCCTGGCGACTGAAGATGGCTGCCAGTATGAGTCCAAGTGGCCACAGAGACCCCCAGAGAGGAGTCGAGAGCCCTTTACTCCGTCTGTTCACTGCCGCAACCTACTCATCATACTGATCGAGCATTTTTGATCCATCATCTTGTGACTCCTCCCCCATTCACCTCCTCATCATCATGATCATCGTCATGATCATCACCGTTATCACCACCGCCGCCGTCATCAGCATCATCATCATCACCATCACCCGCAAACTCCTCGTCATCGTCTCCCCACTTCATCCATCCTCATCGTCCTGCTCATGATCGCCATCATCGCCAGCATCATCAGCATCATCATCATCACCGTCATACGCATCATCATCATGAGCATCCCCGTCACCATCGTCGTCTGGAACGGTTCGTAGACATGCTACTGCGCTGACCTTCTGAGACAGGATGGCGGGTGGGAGTGAGGGAGACGGCCAGCAGGCGGAATGGATAGCTTGACCCCTGCCCGCCCGCTAGCCGTCACGCTCACTTTTGGCGTAACCATCTCCCCGTTGCCAATGGTCGTCGAAGCCTCAATATAGCCTGAAGAGCACCCAGGGGGAACCGAAGAGGGGCTCAGGTGGCCCCAAACCAGGCGCAAGAGCGCCCCTGGAAGGCGACGCGTAGGCGATCGACGGGCAGCCCTGGTTGCAGTTCCCCCTCTTCACTCAATGTCGCACATGATCGCCCCAAGAGGGCGAACGCGGCCCCCAGAAACATTGCACAAAACCTCAAGAGGCGCCGAAAACGCACCAAAAAAGCTACCAAGAGGCAACAAAGGGGCCCGAAAGGGTTCCCCCCGAGCTGCCAAGCGGCTCAAAATGTCACCTGAACCGCGGAGAAGTCGCCAAGATGCCTGAGTAGGCTCCCCAAAAACCCTCAAGAGATGTCCCAAGAACCTCCATGCATCCAGTGAACCACTGGCTTTTCTGTTCGCCAACCTCCTCTTCGTGTGCCTTTTCCCCTTCCCTCTCCTTTCTCCCTCCTCCATCACCTTCCCGCTTCGAGTGATAACGACTGCCCCTCCTTGCTCCCACACTTGCCTGATCGCACCAACTCGCATGGGCATCGTTTCTAGATGAGCTGGTTGGGGCACGGGACGCGTCAAGCACTTCTCCAATTGCTTTCCATTCGTGTCTGACACTGTCATGAATGTGGCCCAAGCCAGACTCCTGCCCCCCCTTTGTCCCATTTGCTCTGGGACACCGCTTGCTGAAAGAGATCAGCGCGCTCACCGCATGCGAGACGTGAGACAGCACTCCCCGCACCGCCGACCCCAAAAACGGACCGCGCCCAAAACGGAACGGGAAACCCTGTCGCAGAAGGAACGAAATGGTTGACCAAAAATTTCGCGCCTGTGCCTTGATCAATGAGAACGGGCCAAGCACCGCCTCACATCACAAGACACACTCGAGCCGCGTCCAGCCAAGGCAACGAATGCCCCCGACAAATCGACAAAACCTATCGCGGGGGCCCGTGACCCATACTGTCAATCTTTGCCTCCTGCTCATCCCTCCTCCCCCTCCTCCTCCTCCATCTCATCATCGTTCCTCCTCCTCCTCCTCTTCCTCCTCCCCCTCCCTCCCCCCTCCTCCTCCTCCTCCTCATCCTGCTGCTCTTCCTCCTCCTCCTCCTCCCTCCTCCTCTTTCTCTTCCTCGTCATCCTCATCCTCATCCTCACCCTCATCTTCATCCTCCCCATCATCATCATCACCACCACCATCATCATCACCATCATCTTCCTCATCGTCGTCGCAATTGTCATTAACGTCGTCATCATCGTCATCATCAGCAGCATCACCATCGTCGTCATGGTCGCCGTCGTGTCAGCAGGACCATCCTCGTCACCTGGCAACACACTACCCGAAAGACTCCGACCATGATACTCCACAGTACTCCCGGACGGCATCCGCCGACACCCTTGAGATGTCACCGGCGCGCAACGTACTGCCCCGACTCCGCCACCCGAAAAGCCCCAAGGACGACCACGGAACCCTCGGAGCGAACCCCCAAACACCCCGTGCATGCCTGATACCCCCCGCGACAGGGCCCCCCAAACGGCGCCCATGCGCGACGGCCCGCCCAACAGCACCCGAACACAGTTCAAGGTCACCACCTGAATCTTTCCCGCAGCTTGCAAAGAAGCCGTGATAACGACCACGCGGAAAAAAAAGGGGTCGGCGGATGTGGCGTAAGCCTATAGAATCGCTCCAGAGCGTTCCGGAGCGCTCTCAGAGCGTTCGGGAACGCTCTGGAGCGGCCGCGGCGCCCAATACGTCCTCCAAACCCGCCGACCCTCCGAGATCTCGAGCTATCCCGATCCGATTTTGTCCCGATCTTCGCGTCGTTCGTGCGTGGGCGTGTGGCGCGTGCGCGTGGCCGCCGCTGGCCGCACCGGCCCGCTCGGCCTGGAAGTCCTCGGAGCTCCCGCGCGAGGCCGCGCCCTGGGGTCGGCCGCCCGGGACCGCCCGGCCCGCCGCCCCCCGCAGGGCGCGCGGGCCCGCGCGGGGCCCTGCCAGGGCCCCGGCGAGCAGCCAGCGCCCCGCCCCGCCACCGTTGCTCGCGCGCGGGCCCAGTCTTGCCTGACAGGGGGAGGAGGGAGAGAGAAAGAGAAGGAGAGGAAGGAGAGGAACGAGAAGAAGGAGAAGAAGCAGAACAATAATAAGAAGAAAGAGGAGGAGGAGGAGGAGGAGGCGAGAAGAAGAATAAGAAGAAGAAGAAGAACTATGATAAACATTCAGTTGAAGATGAAGCTGAAGATGCATAGGAAGTTGGCGTTGAAAATAGAGGTGAACGTGAATATGAATATGACGATGAGGATAAAAAATAATATGACACGATGACGATGACGATGCTGATGAATATGAAGATGCCGATACAGAAGACGAATACGCTGATGATGATGATAATGATGGCGATAATGATTATGATGATGATGGTGATTATGATGATGATGCTGATAATGATGATGGTGACGATGATGATGATGCTGACGATGTTGATGATGCTTGTGATGATGATCATGATGATGCTGATGATGTCGCTGATGCTAATGTTGATGATGATGGCGATGTTGCTGATGATGATGATGATGCTGATGATGATAATGGTGATGATAATGGTGATGATGATGGTGGTGATGAAGAAGGAGGAGAAGAAGAAGAAACATAAAAATAGTAAATAAAAAGAACAACGCGACAAACGAACATCTCAAGGATGACCACGCGCGCCTGGCGTAACACGGAATCGCGGGGACGGACCCCCCATTCTCTCTAAACTAAAAGCCAGCCGCATCCGCGACGCTTCAAAAACTGTCACGACAGAACAAGTATCCAAGCCAGACGAACCTCTCGGCCAACCCACGCCACCCTCCGGCCAACCCTTCCAACCAACCCCACCGGCGGCCAACTCAGCTTAGGAAAACTGGTCCGTAAGAGCTTAGCAACACGAAGAAGAAGAAGAGAAACCACATTCACGGACCGAATCAGAACGTCACGATCACACAGAACGGGCGCCGAGCTCAAGACGTCCGCGGCGATCTTGGTGAGCTCTGGCGGCACGGGCTGCTCGGACTTCTCCAACACCTCGATGAGCTCTTTCGCCTCGGCAGCACGCTGGGGAGCCCAAAGCCGTGCGAGAACAGATCGCGCGGTGACCTCGGAATCCCAAGAGACCTCACCGCACGCTCCGTCACCGCACGCTCCGTCACCCCACGGCCTTGAGACCCTGGAGGCCCCGGTCGCCCGAGACGGTCCTCGGAGAACGACCCGAGCCCCAAAACCGCGCTGTGGCCCCGAACCCGCACCGGCTCACCACACCAGTCCTCCTCCGAATGCTCGGCCTCGGGGCCCGAGCTCGGGCCTCGTCTCCCCGGCAGCCGCCCGCGACGCTCCGGGCACCCCCTGGGGAACGCTCGCGGCGAGGCGCGGCTGCTGGAACGCACCCCGAGGACGGGGAACTGCCGATCTGGGGCGCGCAAGCCCTGAGATCCGACGTTGCAAACAAAGTGCAACATCGCAAGAAATCACGCCCAGAGCCCCGGACCGCATCTGTCTGCGCCATGTTTCGAGCCGGATCGATCTGTGAGGTTCCCGGGGCCTGAAACTGAGCTAAAACACGTGTCGCGAAGAAATCGCAACCCCAGGATCTCAGGGAACATATGGATCGGCGATCAATTGGATTTGGCGCGCGGTCGCCAAATCCATGGATCGGGCTATGTTGCTCCCATCGTACTTAAGGACCACATCCCAGAAATAATTCCGAGCGCCCGGGAAAGTGTCAAAAGAGTATCGAAACAGTGTCGAAACAGTGTCTCCCAGGGCCCGACCGGTGAAAACCCTCGAGTTTCGGTATGTTTTGGGGGGCTCGAAATTCTTTCTCGCGATCACGGCTAAAGTAAGTTGGAACAGCATAAGGTTCGGGGGAAGTGCCCTCCCCAAAATGTGGCCGGTGCCGCCTCGCTCGGCGTCGGGAACCCGCGCTGTCCCCGAGAGGCGGGCCCCGGGGCGCCCGGAGAGCGCGGCGGCCCCCTCGGCTCTGCGGCCGAGGCGCGCAGGGGGGCTCGGGCTGCGGGGGCTCGCGCTCGCCTCGCGGGGGCCGCCGGGAACCCAGCGTCTGACCAGTCGGACGTCTTGAACCGGCGGTCGCTCCTCGACTTCGGCCGCTGGGGGGGTCGCTCCTCGAGTTCGGCCCTCGGGGGGTCGCTCCTCGAGTTCGGCCTCCTCGGGGGTCGTTCCTCGATTTCGGCCCTCGGGGGTCGCGCACTCGGCCCCGGGACCAGCGGCACGGGACCCAGGAGGGACAGCGGCCCCCCGGAGGAAGGGGTCGGGACCCCCGGGGCCGCTGGCTGAAACAGGCAGCTCGGCGGATGTCAAGGCGACAGGCGGGGCCCGGTCTGAAATCTGGCGCGAGCTGCCGCTGCAGACATCACATGGAGACTGGGGCGTCAGGGCTCGTGCCGGGACGCGCAATACATATATATATATATATATTAGATATAGACAGATAGATGAATAGATAGATCGATACATTGATATGTTGATTGGTTCATTAACTTACATATGGAACGATAGATAGGTTTGCCTCCGCATGCACCATAAACCCTCCTGTCCTCCTGGAAGGGAAGAAGAGGAAGAGGCTGTGGTATTAGAGAGGGAGCCTGCTGAGTATTGGGCGTGGTGTTGGAGACGGCAGCTGTGCAGTACTGGGCGTGGTGTTGGAAAACGAGGGAATTATGTAGAAGGATTTCCTCAAGTACATCTTGGGGAGGGAGCCTGTTGAGTATTGGGTGTAGTGTTGAAAACGGCGGCTGTGTAGTACTGGGCGTGGCGTTGGAGACGGATTGAGTTGAGTATCAGGGTCTTTTCAAGGTTGCCTTGGGGAGGGAGCCTGTCGAGCATTCGGTGTGGCATTGGAGACGGAGGCTGTGGAGTACTTGGACCAAAAAAACATTTGAACAAAATACGCCTCCAAAAATAGATGCGAAAACCGTACGGATCAGAAATGAGCTATAATGTAAAATGCACAATGGAGGATTCCTGATGTCCCATGAACCCCTTTCTCCCTGGAAGGGCAGAAAAGGAAAAGGGTGTGGAGATGGAGATGGAGGCTGCGGAGTGTTGGGCGTGGTGTTGGAGACGGGGGAAGCTGAGTGGAAGGATCTCATCAAGATCATACTAGGGGTTGAGCCTGTTGATAATTGGGTGTCTTGGAGACGGAGGCTGTGCAGCACTGGGTGCGGTGATGGAGGCGGAGAGAGTTGAGTTAGAAAGGTCGCTTCAAGCTTACCTTGGGGAGGGAGCCTGTTGAGAATTGGGTGTGGTGTCGGAGATGGAGGCTGTATTACTGGGCGTGATGGTTAAGACGGCGGGAGTTGAGTACAAGGACCTGTTCACTTTCAGCTTGGGGAGAAAGCTTGTTGACTATGGGGTGTGGTGTTAGAGACGGAGGCTGTGGATTACAGGGCGTGGTGTTGGAGACGGAGGGGGATCTATTCCAGTTCGTCTTGGGGAGGCAGCCTGTTGAGTATCCGGTGCGGTATTGGAGACAGAGGCTGTGGAGTACTGAAACTGAGCCCAGGATCGGTGCATACGCCCTCCTACCGTGACCAGGAAGGCATCTGCACCGGTCCTGGGGCCAAAGATGGGCCGTGCCAGGATCGGTGCAGGTGCATAGCTCTCCTCGCCCGACCGAGGAGGCAAGGCAGCGCGCCCCCCGCGAGCGCGCGGAGCCACGCGCGCGTCGGCGGCCTCGGGCCCCGGCAAAAGCTCGAGAGTTTTTTTTGTTGGCTCTACGCCGCTCGAAGGCACCAGGAACAGTCGCCAGCTGCTGAGCAAAGCAGCTGGCCTGAAAAAGCTCGAGCGTCCCGCGCCCTCCCCTGCCCGAGGAAGGAGGGCGGCAGGAAAAGGCGAGGCCCACGGGCGGCGGTGCGCAGCCGCAGGGTGCCGGCGTCCTGCCCCTTGGGCGTTTGCGTGCTGTTGTTTTGTATGGTTTGTGTTGTTGTGTTGTTTCTCTATGATGTTTTGTTATTTTGCTAACTGTGAGTTGCGTTTTTGTGTAATGTTGTGTGTCGTTGTTGTTTCATGTATTTAGGTTATGTGTCTCTAGGTATCGGTTATTATGTTATGTTCATGTTGTTTTTGATTAGTTGTATTGTTTATTGTTGGTTTGCTATGTAGTCGGTTACGTTGCTCCCATCGTACTTGAGGGCCACACCCCAGGGATAATTTCGAGCACCCAGAAAAGTATCGAAGCAGCGTCGAACGAGCATCGCCTCCCCGGACCCGACGCGTGGCAAAGCCGTCACGATTCGGTACGTTCTCGGTGCTCGAAATTCTTTCTGGTGGTCGAGGCTAAAGTAAGTTGGAACGTCGGAAGCCTTGGGTCTCTGGGGAGCTGTGGGCGTGGATGCGTGGACGCCCTCACTCTCAAGTCTGCGGCGGGCGAGGGGGGAAGTGAGAAGGAGAAGGCTTTCTCAGCAGGCGGCGGGACTTCTCGGAAGCCCTCGCGCCTTCTGAGAAGTGCTCTGCGTCTTCGGGGAAGGCTTAGAAAAATTCCGAGAAGGCTGGGGGGCTTCCGAACCTTCTGAGAATGCCTTCTCCTTTTCACTTCCCCCCCTCGCTCGCCGCCGATCAATGTGATGACTACCTTCCAGACTCCCCCCAACCGAACCCAAAGAGCCCACCCAGTTTCGGGTTGGGGGGGTACGGGTTCCACATGTGTTTTTTTGTTTCATGTTCTCCGACGCCCCTGCCCACTAGGAATGGAGGGCAAATTGGGGCCGTCGGGTCGGATTGGCGTGGTTTGGTGGGTGGTGATGCTAGGAGGCAACTCCTGTGAGGTCTTCCCCATAACGACCACAGGCTACTGAGCCCGATGCATGGGCCTGGGGGCCAGATCCGGCCCGATTCAGCCCGGGAAGGAGCCAGATTGCGCGGCACTGCGCGGGAGCGATCGGGACTGAGCCGGATTCAGCGGGATCAGAGCCGAATGAAGCCAATCTTTGACTTAGTTGCTCCCATCGTACTTAAGGACCACATCCCAGAAATAATATCGAGCACCCGGAAAAGTGTCGAAAGAGTGTCGAAACAGCGTCGGACGAGTGTCTCCCAGGGCCCGACACGTGAAAACCCTCGAGCTTCGGCACCTTCTTGGTGCTCGAAAGATAACCTCTGGTGGTCAAGGCTAAAGCAGGCTGGAACATCGTGGTCTTCGACCCGGGATAGACCAGCGCTGGTTAACGGGCGAAGAACGGTTTAAAATAAACTTTTTCGCTGTCGGGGGCGCCTCTCCCAGGGCGGCTGGAAGGTTTATACCCTTCCAGTGGCACCGTAGGGGTATAAACTTTCCAGCCGCCCAGGGGCAGGTGTCCCCGAAGGCGGAAAGTTTATTTTATACCGTTCTTCGCTCGCTGCGCCGATGCGGAGTCCCACCTCCCGGGAGCTGCCTCCCCCGAGGTGTGCGGGTGCGTGCTGGCCCTCGCCGCAGGACTCCGCGCCCGGGCGTCCCGGGGGTCGGCCCTGCGAGGGCCGACGCGCGCGATCCACGAGTCCACGACTCGCAGAGGAACTGCTCGCGAAAAGCCTGAACAACAACTCCTCCTCCTCCTCCTCCTCCTCCTCCTCCTCCTCCTCCTCCTCCTCCTCTTCTTCCGACTCTTCCTTTTCCTCCTCCTGCTCCTCGTCATCCGAAAACGAATCATCCTTTTCCCTCCTCCGTCGTCCACCCTCCTCACCGGGGATACACGATAAACTGCATCGAAGCAAGAATATGCTTATCGGGCGTTTGCGAGTGGGCACTTTGCGAGTACTGAAACGCGCTCGGTGAGGGGGGCTGGGCGGTGGCGCCGCGGCGCCGACAAACATAACATCACATGCGGGGAAAGCGAAGAGCCGACCAGCCGATTCACTCACCCTGTCGTTGCCGCTATCGCTGCACTTGAGGTGGCGCTGGCGCTCCGCGTAAGGATGATTTCCCGCTCTCAAGGGCGGGCAAGCATCCGTATCGACGGCTCCTCGGGAGATCCTCGAGATCCAGGAGAACGACACCGATGTCTGCCAGAAAAGAAGTAGGTGTCAGACTCTCGAGGCGAAGCTACTGTGCC